TAACTGAATTATTTATCAACAATTAAAAATTTCACATAAAATTTATTACTCAGGGCTGTGTATCCAGAAGCTTCTGATCCTTTGATTGCAGATTCCTCTCACTGGGCTATGGATGAAATGGTTTTTTGATATTTGAGATGTGCTTCCAACTGAATCTCATCCAGGGTTGAAAATTAAAACTTTTGGCACCTCTTGAAATTACCAGTCAACTTATTACTAACATGCTAGGGATCTTGCTTTCACTAATCATCTAGGTTAGAACCTCAAGATTTCTTATATAATGATTCTCTTTAATCACTATGTATTACAATTATTAGCTACAAAATACGTTCTTTTTTAATTATCCAACATAAGTTATAGGGCTTTTGAATCCTGTATTCTCAAAAATGCATTCATTGGAGAAAGCTATTTTGGCTACTTTTCTTAAATGTGCTGCATGCAATATTAAAGCATTTATACCTGTAATGTATTCTTGATATTTTTGCCTCAGAATATTTTTATTAAAATTGTATAAGGTGGAGAAACATTGAAGGTTTCCCAATAAACATATTAGTGAGGCTTCCAAGTATGTGTTTTTTAAAATAAATTGTCCAGAAACAATAGTTGAAAACACAAATTCAAATACAAGCTGTTTACTTGGGAGGTGATCGCAGCAAATACCTACAGGGAGTGGGAAAATGTGACAGGGAATAAAAGGAAGGCAAATCAGAGTGCATTGCTAAGCTAGTTACCACTATAGGCAACTGGGGGCCAATGCTTATGGACAGGGACTCAGTACTCTCTTCTGAAGTGAAAAAGTCCTTGAGAAGAATTTTACAGAAGCCCCCAGTAATCAGTCTTCAGGGTATACACACAATTGACCACAGGATATAGGCAGGGAGTTGACAGCTGCTACTGGGCGTGGGGTGTGACTTTGAAAAGCATACATACTATAAAGATGAAAAGGAACAAGAGAATGTCTGGAAGGATAAAATAAAATGGAAAAAGCATAGAAGTATGAAGACATGTGGTGAGTTTAAGCTATCTCATGACACCAAAAAAAGAGGGTGTATGTGGCATAGAAATGGCAGACAGAGTTAGAAAGACAGGGTGGGTACCTACAACTGCAGCATTTGAATTTCCTGAATTTTGGTAGGTGTCATCCACTACTGTTTAAACTACTGTAATAGACTTTTAAATGATTGTCCTCACTTAAAATATCGAACTATTCCTTTCAATGAGAATAGAAAAGCTGAAGAATATATATATGTGTGTGTATGTGTATATATGTATATATGTATATATATATATATAATGTTTGAAAACTTCAGAGAAATACCAAAGCATTGCAGATTCACCAAAATGCTATAAGAGCTAGAATTGAAGTCATGACAAATGAACCTGCCCCTTAGAGTTTCTGTCCCCTTAAAGTTTTATGCTGATTTTGAAAGTGGTCATTAAGAGGCTGAGTGAATCTCCACAAACTCACACAGGTAGAGAAACAAATTTGAAATTCAGGATCTATCAAAGAGTTAGTCTCATGACAAATTAATGCTCAAAAATTTTTTTAAAAAAGAGTTAGGGTTCTGGGAAATATTTCAGACATTGAAAGAGAACAATTCTTAGAAGTAAAATAGAATTGCTAATAGACAGCTTCTTATAAGGACTAAAGCCCAGGTTTAAATGATCTCAACCCCTGATTGGATTAAAATGATCTAGGATGCTTTTGTCCTTATCCTAGAAGCCTGCCAGAAACATAAGTATTAGTAAGTCCTCTTCAGAGGAAAATGAAATCATCTGGTTTTTTATATGAAATATCTACTATTCTCTCAAAACATAGGAAGACTATAAGAAGGTAAGATTGAAATACACACACACACACAAAATATCAGAATATAGAATCTGAATCACAGGATCCATGTAATGCACATGTCAAAATGAGACAT